ATAAGTTGATATATAATTTACCAGTTATATACAAATTAGTATTAATGAGTATCCAATTTTATTAGGAATTGAATAGGGAATTCCTTCTTTGCTCTCTCTGATCCCCCCCTCTCTCTCTCTCTCCCCATCTCTCTCTCTCTTTCTCTTTCTCTATCAGTATTCTTATATTAATATCTTCATGTGGATTAACTAAAGAAATGACACTAATGTTAAGTGGAAAAAAAAAAGAGAGAAGATTAGTACCTAGCAAAGTTCTTGCTTCAGATCCTATGAAAACGAGGAAGTAAATAAGAAAGAAATTAGCTCTGATGAACAGAATCATTTTAGTTATCATTCTTTTAACTTTTTGGAATCAATAAACAAAATAGTACTAATTCGAAGCGAGTAGATTGAATTGGAAACTACGTTAATCCATTGAAAACTCCATTTACAGTGTAGCACCCCGAAAAATTTCGAAGCACTTAAGCGCTATTAAGAAAGTTGATGTGCGCTAATTATATTATTTTGTGTGCAGACGAGGACTATTAATATGATGGATATCAATTGGATATGATAATAATTGTACGACGTATATTATAAGTGATGTGGGGTCTAAGGAGAGCCCTAAGTCTAAGTCAAGTTGGAAATTACATGATAGACTAAAGTTCCAAATGAGTACGCACAAGATCAAACTCTGGACGAGTATATCTACATATATATAAATGGTTATGTGATGTAAAACCTATCAAATGAAAGATCTTCAAGTCTAGTTTCTAACTCTTCAAACCGTTTGTCATTTGGACATTCCTACAGTTATGACCAAATTACCAATGGCTGGAGGAGGAACCTGCGGATGCGAAGCATCCGAGGCCGCGTCCGAAAGAGAGACTGGCAATGAAGTGCTGCCATAGCGTCCAGGTCCGCATCCGAGCTTCAAAGAGGAGTGAAGTGGGGATGCAAAGCATCCAGGTCCGCATCCGAAACCCAGAAATTTGGGCCTATAAATACAAGGTCGGGGAAGTGGAGTATTTTGTGTATTTGGGGGTTAGAGTTCTTGAAGTGGAGAGGAGATTTTGAGCTCAAATCAAGTCCAATAAACCAAGGTAGGTTGTTAATGATATTTTGGATTGATTATTACTCAATATACATGAGTTCTAACATCATTCTTACATCCAAATACTAGATTTCTTCATCAAATCCTCAAGAACACAAAAATCACCACAGTTGTAATTTTTCAAGATTGATCTACTAGAAGTAATTCTAATGCTTCAAACTCGTTTATTATGAGTAGATAGAAATATTTGAAGCATTTGTTACAAGTTTTAATGATTGAAAGATTGGATTATAAAACTCTAGTTCATGGCATGAATAGTACTTTTGAGAAAATAAGGGAGAAGATGAATGGTAATCTTGACGATGAAATTTACGTATACAATGAACCTATGGAATTATTTGTTAGCAAAAGATGGAAGTGATCAACTAAGTAATCACCCGAATTGTATATTTTATAAGTGTTGATTATGGAAGACGATAAATAGTAACTTGGTGGCAATGGACAATTGATGTAGTATCATTAATGACTCTGAATGGGTATTAAAACATAAGAATGAAGTTAAATGGTCTAGCATATAAAACTATTTGGTGATTTGAGTTGTTGGAGGCTTGTAGCCAACTTGTGAGCAATATATGGATGTTGATCAACATCTTAGGTCATATTCTGATGTAATTAGGATATCTAATTGTAGATATCGACTTGTTGGTGATGTTGAGCATTTTAATCAACATTGGAATGATGGAGGAGGATTGAAATCTTGTGAATGTTAATAAAGCGAAAGCGAGGTAATATGATTAAAACTTACTCTTCCTGAAGGATTTTCTCTAAAAGCATATTTCGAGTTAATACTTAAGTTATTTGCAAATGTGCTTTCGTGCTTGTGGGGACAAACAAGTACGGATGTCTCCATGTACTAGAATATTATGTTGCATATATAGTGTCATGCCATTTTATAACTTTTATTTTAAATCTTGTTGGCAAAGTGACACTTAAGGTAAATGTTATGAGTTTTTTATCAAAACTTACGTATTGACAAGAGTATACATATTTGAATGCTAAAGTTAAGTTTTCATGGAAAGTATTCTTTTGAAAATTGACGAACAGAATAGCACTTGTGGTATCTTTTAAAGATTGATGTTGAATTTCTAAAGGCTTTAGCATGTAAAAGCTTATTTATTTAAATTTTGTTCAAAGGATTTAGATTTTCTATAAATGCTATGATTTGATAAAAATAAATCATTTGAGGCTACTATGCTATGGATCTATTTTGAAGTATCAAATATTTTGGGAGTTACTTGTGTTCACCGAAATTGACTTCGGATATATCGTGTTCGTTGTCATAAAATTACACGTGTCGGTGTACGCGTAGATGGCCACTTTGTGGTATAGACAATGGTAGAGTGCTCTCCCTCGAGAAAGTACTATTTTGTGCTATTATTAACGTGGCTGAGTCGATTCGTACGGCACTACGATGAGACGACCTGAGCAAGTAGGGTATATGATACTTGCCGTTAGGTACATAACCTACTTAACCTTCTTGTGTCGGTGATGGTATAGTACTCCCAGTGAAAGGTAAGGATGATTTTCTTATGTTTAGGCCTAAGGAGCCGAAAGTGATTTCGATGACTTAAAGCAAATGGAATGATTTTGTACGATTTTATCCAAAATCTTGGATTGATGTAAATATTTTAAAAGTTTATATTGTGGGTTATATCTCACTTGGTTGTTATTTAAAATAACAATGGTCGTGAATTGATAAATTTTTTTATCGTTTTATATCAAATAATGGTGCATTGTGTTTATAAAATTTGTCCCAATAACTTAAGTAGAGAGAGCCTATGACACTTATTGAGTACCGTTGTGGTGTACTCAGCCCTTAGCCC